AGTCCCGCCCCTGCCTCGGACCCCGCCCCCGCGCGCCAGTCTCGAGAGGCCGCTCTCACCCGATTGGCAGGGGCAGGTGCAGAGGTGGAAGGGCACTTTCCTCCTCCGGGTGAGTGGAAAACAGATTGGAAAACAGATTGCAAAACTGTACGTGCCGTGTCCCCATTACATTAAATGCATGCTTTGAAAGGAGCCGCAAGTTAAATATATACACTCCAACGCCAACCCAGAGGTGATATCTGGATGGTGGTGGTTTACACCATGCAGTATTCCCCAAGTTTTCTCCAGAGAACAGGCACGGCCTCTGTAATCCCCTCTCCCAGCAAATAAACTGATTTTAAAGCACTCCATTAGCAAATCCAGTTTGAGAGGGGCTTCTTTACCGTAATTCCCCCCTCCCCCCAGGGATAAGCACCAACACAAGGCCAAGTCATTTCTTTGTCAATAATCGTTTCTCTCACAACACTGCTGAGGAAGGCCTAATTTCCTCTTTTTCAGTCCTTTTCTGCAGTGGTGAGGTTGGAAAACCCAGAGCAGGGTACGTACCAGGGGGTGTAAGACACTGCCTGACGTCTGTCGCTAAAACGCCTCACATGAACTTGAACGCAGGGAGGGAGAATGTGCCTTTGGCCCCCATAGGCCACTGCACAGAGTTGGAGGGAGTTTTGTGCAACCTAGAGATGCCAGCAGAACCACACATCCGCTGCACATATATCCTGTCTAATAAGAAACAACTCTGAAGACATTCCCAAGTTTATATTAAAAAGCGTGTTTTCTTTTTAACCAACCTCCAACCATTGTACAAAATTAAATCTTAAAATACGACACAGAGATTCTGTCCCTGTCCCTTATGCAAATGTTTCTGTATTAGTCACCCGGCCGCACTTGGTGTGTCTGTCTTCCTCACTCAGATTGAGGAGGGTTGTGCAAGGGGCTGAGAGCTGAATTTTCAAGAGCGTAGGCGACAGAGTATCATCTGGGAGGTGCCCAAGACTTGGCTGGACCTTCCCTACTTCTAACCCAACCCGAAGCGTGTGCTTCTGTTTCCTGGGGTGTGCCCCTCCTTTCTCTCCCGCAGCCCAGGCTCCCTCCTCTTTTTCTGCAGCTTTCCAGCTCTTCCCTGGAGACTTTGGAAAACAATGCTGACTGCTCCTGCTGTAAACCCTGCTCTTTACTCTGGGAAACATGATGCAGAAACATTAGACATCCATGAGAATAAAGGGAATGGGCAGGGCCTTTTCCATTCAAAGCAAATCACTTTGAACTGGTAAACAACACACTGAATGATACCAGAATACTCTGTTTCCCACCTCCCCTTTCCCCAGACTGGGAATTTGCACAGATGAGGTCACCAGTCTCATAATCCTTCCGTCGGAGAACACTTGGAGACCCCAAAGGAGCAAGTGCGGGTGCTGGGAAGGACAGCACCGGAGGTAGCAGGCGTCCAAGTTAATTAAATATTTCTTGATTCATTCATCTCATTACATAACCATCCCCCATGTCAACATCCGACTCAGAAGTGTCACTTTTATCAGAAGGAGCATCTTCAGACCACGGATACTCCGCAGAGGGGCCGGGGAAGGGCAGCTGTGTCCCTTCTCCACTGGCCACCAGAAGAAGGTTCGATTCTGTCTCTTCGGGGTCCTCTAGCACAACTGTCTCTTCTGGACCAGATGGTAACATCAGAGTGACTTCTGAGTCATCGTTGTCCTCAAGGGCCCTCACACACACAGAGTTCAAATCCACATTGAAGACAATTCTGTCCCCAGACCCCTCCGTGGGGCTGCTGTCCTCCTCGGAAAAGGGGCCCTGCAGCAGATTCCCTCTGCCCTGGTAGCCCCTACTTGTGCATTCCGACTGCCAGGGGCTGGGCCCTGGTGCCATCAGGGCCTCAGCATCAGCCTCAGGCTCGGGCAGGTCACGCTCCTCAGCAGCCAGGTCACTGCAGTCCTCCAAGGTGGCCGAGGACACAGAGGCGGGCCACAGCCTGCCCGTTAGCCCGTGTGTGGTGTAACCACCTGCGCTTATTTGGGGGGCTGCTTCATTATCGCTGTCACTTTCATCATCATAATTATAATTCCACACTTTCTTCTTTCTGTTGATGTGAATGACCTCCACGGTAGCCACTTTTTCCAACGGAGGCAGCTCGGGAAATACCCAGACTGACAATTTATAAAAATTCTTTAAAAAAAAAACAACAACAGAGGGTATCAATTCTGAGTGTTTGTTCTTTACTTTTTGACATCATAAAACTTAATGAGGTTAACTACACAGTGATGGGGAAGGTGGTAATGAGGACGATGACAAAAGCAACGACAACAATGGCTAATGGTTACATAGTGTTTACTATTTGCAGGGCACTGCTTTTAGTAATCTACACACGTTATAATTCATTTTACCCTCACAACCGCTCTATGAAGTAGGCTTACTATTCTTATCCCCACTTTACAGATGAGAAAATGAGGCAGAGAGGTTAAGAAACTTGCCCGAGTTTCACAAGTTTCAGGAATACTAAGTGATGGAGGCTGGGTTTCAAACTAGGAGGTTGCCTGCAGCAGAGACTGGCCCACTCCTTCCTACTGCTGTTTCCTCGCTGCTTCTTGCTTGTCAGGGGAATCTATCCATTTAGTCTGGATAGATTTCAGCCCTGGATTGCTGACATTCTTAAGGGTATCAAGGAACTGTGAGTAAGGAGAGATTCTAGAGAGCCGATTCCACTGGGGTCAAAGCCCTCTGCACTGGAGGACCTTAAAGAGGCAGGTGACCCCTAAAGGGTCAGAGATGAGAAGAGCAGGGAGACTGCAGCTTGCTCTGATCCAGCACCTCCAGGACGCAGAAGGTGAGGTGGGCTAAGGAGACTGGCTACGGTGGGGTCATGCTGAGGAGGGTGGTCACGAGATTCCTTTCACAGACCTGGAATCATCAATGACATCCTCCTCCTCCTCTCTATTCCCTTGCTCAGGCTGCCCAATTTGACAAGCCTACTCTTCCCTGACTCTATCCAGACCTAGCCTTGGGATGAATTGTTCCATTGGGTTGTTCATCATTTTTCTTATTGATTTACGGGGGCTCTATATATAATCTATAATCTAGATGCCAATTATTTGTTCATTATTTATGCTACATGTAATTTCCCCCAGTCTCTGGTTTAACATTTTACTCTCTTTATGATAACATTTGATGGAAAGTTCTCAATTTTAATGTAAGAAGATGTATCACTTTTCTTTCTTCATGGCTTCTGCTGAATCTTCCTTGCCCCAAAGTAAGAATCTCCTTTATTGCCTTCTAAAACTTTTAACAGTTTTGCCTTTCACATTACAGTCTTTAATAAGCCTGAAATTGATGTTTGTGTATGGTGTGAGGTAGGGATCCAATTTCATTTTCCCCCATATAGATAACATTTATTGACCTGTCAACCCTTTCCCCATTGCAATTCCTACTTGTCATTAGTCATGTTTCCACATATGTGGGTCTGTCTCTGGGATCTCCATTTGACTAGATCTTTGTTAATGCTTTTCAATAAGGTTAGATAATTTTCTCTACAATGGGCTTATGACATCTTCTGTTAGATATCTTCCTTGTTTTTAAAATATTTTTATTACCATTGTAATGGTATTATAAAAACGGTATGTTTTCATTTAAATCACATTATTGCATTTAACTGTATGATTCCAAGTTCAAAACCAGGTAAAACTAATCTATGCTGTTAGTGATCAGGAAAGTGGTTATCCTGGATATGGGCAGTGACTAATAGGTAGGAGATACTTCTGGGGAGGCTGGTCATGTTTCCTTTCTTGATCTGGGTGTGAGTTATGTGGGTACATTGAGTTTGTGAAAATTCACAGAGCTTTTTGCTGTGATTTGTGTACTTAATTTCTTGGATGTTGAAAAGCAACTTATATAAAAATATATTTGTTTTCTAAGTGATTGTTACTAGTGTATGAAAATGCAAGCATTTTTATATTGATTATTTTGTGTGTAACCCATTGCTAAACTTATTAGTCCTAATACTTCGTCTCTAGCTTCTGAATTCCTTACTTAGCCAGTCATATCATCTATAAATTATCATTCTCTCTTCCCCCATTTTTCAGACTTTAAGCTCCAGAAGGGCACATTTTTTGTTTGCTTTACTCACATCTAGATCCCCAGCACCTATAACATGTGGACACACAGTAAATACACAACACATATTTGTTAAATGCAAAAGAGGAGAAGGAGGGGGAGGGGAGGGGGAGGGGAGAGAGAGAAAAGACAATGTTTAAAATTTTTAATATCTGTTCTTGATTAAACATACATACACAAACATACTAGACCTAGGGTGTTCTGTTTTACTATTCCTAGAGTTTTTACTTAAACACAGAGTAACAATTTTTAATGGAGAAATACCAGGCAGACACAAGATAACAATACCTCCTGTCATTACTTGGGGTTAACACAATAACAGGTATAAATATAATTGGCATATAATTTGGGTGCATTTTAAGGATGGGAAGAGCCCCAGGGATACCTGGGAGGAGGGTTAGTAATGAGTTTAGGTAATTCAGGCAGAAGATTACCTAGGAGGTGATGGGTGTGGTGCTAGGGGCCTTTAAATCTCAAGGCTGCATGAGAAATATGTATTGGAGTGGGATTTACCTAAGACCTCAAGGCCAAAGCAGTACATGGCCAACAGAAGAGTTGGAGTAAAGGCTGAGAGTAAACTTGCAACTGAACACTAACATAAAAGATTCAAAATATACATTGTTAAAGATACAAAGATAAAAGTTACACTGATAGATGAAAACCAACCATTCTTGCAATACAGGGATCATAGTGTGGATGAAATCCAACACAGAGCAATTTCCTTCTCATAAGCTACAACCAAATGCCATCTAGGTTCAAATACTAATTGTAATTAAAAACTCCAAAAGCACCCCTCCCCGCAAACAATCCCTCCCCCAACCCAACCTGAATAAGAACAAGAAAAAGAAGCATACATCATCCATAACAAAGAATGAAATAATGCCATTTGCAAAAACTTGAATGGACCTAGAGTTTATCAGATTAAGTGAAGAAAGTCAGAGAGAAAGACAAATATCATATGCTATCACTTGTTTGTGGAATCTAAAAAAAATGATACAAATGAACTTATTTACAAAACAGAAATAGATTCACAGACATAGAAAACAAACTTATGTTTACCAAAAGGGAAAAGGGACAGGGGTGGGAAGAGATAAATTAGGAATTTGGGATTAACATAAACATACTACTATGTATAAAGTAGGTAAACAACAAGGACCTACTGTATAGCACAGGGAACTATAGTCAATATCTTGTAATAACCTATAATGGAAAAGAATTTCAAAAAGAATATATATATATATTCTTCCTGTACACTTGAATCACTTTCTGTACACTTGAAACTAACACAACATTGTAAATAAACTATACTTCAATTAAAAAAATTTTAAAGAAACAAAAGAATTAGAAAATAAAAAGCCTACACTTTTATCACCTGTGGAGGGATATTTACTTGTGGCTGTTAAAAAAATTAGAAGAAGAGGGCTTCCCTGGTGGCGCAGTGGTTGAGAGTCCGCCTGCCGATGCAGGGGACACGGCTTCGTGCCCCGGTCCGGGAAGATCCCACGTGCCGCGGAGCGGCTGGGCCCGTGAGCCGTGGCCGCTGAGCCTGCGCGTCCGGAGCCTGTGCTCCGCAACGGGAGAGGCCACGGCAGTGAGAGGCCCACGTACCGCAAAAAAAAAAAAAAAAAAAAAAAGAAGAAGGTGAATGAGTTCAAACATAGAAAAATAAGATATTTCTGATAGTTTTCTAATGTAGAAGGAAAGTGACACGATAGGGAAAATGAAAAATGAAGGGCAAAGTGCTTGAGTCAAAGCACATGAGGTGGCTTTAGAAATATGTAAGATCAATACCCAGACTTGTCTGAGCGCTAAAGGCTGTGAGCAGGAAGAATATGCCTCAGGAAGCAGAGAGAAAATATGAAGACAGAATGGCTGGTTTCACTAACAATGAACACAAATAAGAGCTACTCTGGGGGACAGTTATACTGCGATGAATGAACAAAAGTAGAAAAAAATGATTAATTAATGCCAGCAGAGCTTTGGAGAAAGGCGTCCGTCTCTATGTTGACACTAGCATTATAAATTAATTCTTTATATTTTTATATAAGATAAATTCACTTTGTGTATCGATTCCATGGAAGTAATCCAAACTAAAAAGACAACCTGTATAAAAATGTTCATTTGCATTGTTCATAAGGGCCAAAGACAGACATGAAAGGAAAAGAAATCAATCCAAATGCCCTACAGTTGAGAAATGATTAAGGGAAAAAGGAGACATTAATAACAATGGAAAACTATGTTGATTATTGAAAATCATATGTGGACAAAGTATAAAAAGAAAGCAGAAAATTCAAAATAGAGGTTTATAGGGATGGAAAAGAATCCAGAGTGATAAAACACCTTGATGTTTTGAGACAATGGGGTTTTCTTCTGTGTAAATATTTAAGTGTATAATAAAAATTCTTAAGTTAAAATGAAAAATAAAGACAGGAATTAAAAAAAAAATACCTACCAAAACTTTGGGGAAATCATTTCTTAAGCATATGTAACCGATCCGTTTCAGCATCATTACAGTGCTTATGACGACAGCAGCTATTAAAAACAGAGTAATTATTCCTCCTATTGTGGCAGATTCTGATGACTCTGTTGATGAAAAATTAAATGGCTTTATTTCAAAATAAATCCAGTGAACAATTGCCGTTGGGAATAAATGTACATTGATCTGGCGGTGGAGGGGTTTATCAAGGGGGCAAAAGTTGGAAAAACTATTGTTAAATACCAAAGAATGGAAAGTAATCCAAGTATACATTTTAAAAAATTGATAAAAATTCAGTTTCTAAAAGTAAAATTTCTTCCAGTAGATAATTATGCTCTATAACTGCACTGTCCAATATGGTAGCCACTAGCCACATGTGCCCATTCAAGTGTAAATTATCAAAATTAAAAAAAAAAACAAACTTTCTGAGTCACACTAGTCAGGTCTCCAATACTCAATAGGCACAGTTAGCATGCACGGCAGGCAGGGAGGAGTGGAAAAGGGGAGTTTGTCTGAAGAAAACAACTGCATCACCCTGAAGCTGGACTTTGGCCACGCCAGGAGCCGAGCTTGCTTTGTCCTGTTATGAGTTCTCCTTTAGTTTCTTGTCAAAATTACTTTTGGAAAATTTCAATTTTCTGAATGAAAATAGCTTTCTTCCATAAGTCCAACTGGACTGAGAAGAAATCAATAGTTACATAACTAAGGCTCTCTTAAATTTCCAGAAAGACTTTTCTTAATATTAATCCTAGAGCCACAGCCTCAGGCAAAACAAATACAGGAGAGGAAAAAGTAAAGATGGCTCATATATTTTTAAAGTCTTTCAAAAGGTTAAAGAATGAACAGAAAGAAACTCAGTGAAGGTCTGCTCCCTCAGATGGCAGAAGATTCACAAACCCCTTTCATTCCCATCAAGAATGAATGGGTCATCTTCAAAAAATCTACAAACACTACATGCTGGATACGGTGTGGAGAAAAGGGAACCCTCATTTACTGTTGATGGGAATGTAAATTGGTAAGACCATTATGGAGAACACTATGGTGGTTCCTTACAAAACTAAAAACAGAGTTACTATATGATCCAGCAATCCCACCCCTGGGCATTTATCCAGAGAAAACTTGATTAGAAAAGACACATGCACCCAATGTCCACTGCAGCACTATTTACAATAGCCAGGACATGGAAGTAACCTAAATGTCCATCAACAGACGAATGGATAAAGAAGATGTGGTACATATATACAATGGGATATTACTCAACCAAAAAAAAAAAGAACAAAATAATGCCATTTGCAGCAACATGGATGGATCCAGAGATTGTCATACTGAGTGAAGTAAGTCAGGGAGAGAAAGACAAATACCATATGCTTATATGTAGAATATAAAAATATGATACAAATGAACTTATTTACAAAACAGAAACAGAGTCACAGATGTAAGAAAGAAACTCATGGTTACTGGAGGGAAAGGGGGGGGGAATAAACTGGGAGATTGGGCTTGACATATACACACTAATGTATATAAAACAGATAACTAATGAGGACCTACTGTATAGCACAGTGAACTCTACTCAATACTCTGTAATGACCTATATTGGGAAAGAATCTAAAAAAGGGTGGATATGTGGATATGTATAACTGATTCACCTTGCTGTACACTTGAAACTAACACAACATTGTAAAGCAACTATATTCCAATAAAAAAAAAGAAGAATGAATGAAGGCATGTCATATCAATGGCAGTTCTACAATCAGATCTAGCCATAAAGGCACACCTTTATAATACAAAATTCTTACACGTATAGAGCTTACATTCCTGAAGAGGATTCTGTGAACCAAAGTGATTTCTCTGGAGAAGCAATGATGTCATGGAATTCTGACCCATGTGTCCACCCCTCCTCCTGCCCCAGTGAGTCACTTGAACTAGAATTTTGGTTTTGGCTCTGCTTCTAGGGAATGTAAACAAGACGCCACCCTGTTTAAAAGAGACCTACCACCCTCTACCTGAAATTGCCCCCCTCCCTGCACCCTTTCTGCTTAATTTTTCTCCGTAGTACTTACCATCACTTAACACACACTATATTTTATTTTTTAATCTTGTTTCTCTGTCTCCCAATATAAGCTCTATAAGCTCAGGAATTTTTTGTCTGTTTTGTTCACTGCTGTATCCCCAGTATCTAGAAAAGAATCTGGCACGTAGTAGACCCCTGATAAATATTTGCCAAATGGGGAATTCTTGGTGGTCCAGTGGTGGGAACTCCGCGCTTCTACTGCAGGGGGCATGGGTTCTATCTCTGGTCGGGGAACAGAGATCCCGCAAGCTGTGCATGCATGTGGCACGGCCAAAAAAATTTTTTTTTGTCAAACGGATAAGCACAGCTTTCCCTCAGGACCTTACTGAAAAAACCCAACCAATTAGTTTAATGTTTGACAAAGGGGAGACATTTCTCCAGCTCTCTGGACTAAATTCCCCCATACCAATACTGCCTTAAGATACCAGTGTTCACCACTGAGTCCCAGTAAGTTAACTCTGATCCCAGGTCATCCTTCAAGAATTCACCACCTGGTCCCTGAGTTTGGCTAGTTGAGGGTGGCTCACACGGCCAGTTTGGATAGTGAGAGGGGCCATGTTATATGAACCTACTTGGTTCCTGAAGTTTCAGACAAGAATTGGAACAAGAAATATTTGGATAGTGAGGCGTACCTGTACATTAACTGTCTCACGTAATGATAAAAATAATGGAGGTTGACAATATGCAAGATGATGTGTTCACACCAAGGGAACATGAAGTGATGGGACAGCATGCTGTTGCATGACCATTTCTTAGTGGGTGAAACAGAGAAAAGTCAGGGGAGAAACTGAACCATCTCAGAACAAGGATATCAACTTCCAAAGAAGCAGTGCCTTTCGTCAGGCTTGGATTCACCTAAGTGCAGACTGAGTTTCAGCAAACCACTGTCTGTCATGCCATATTACTGGGTTTTTTATTGCTGTGATACTGTGATTTATAATAAGAAGTACATATTTGGTCTTTGTCCGCAGTTCTGAAAGCCTTAGAATTTCCTAAGTGATTAGAGCAAAGAAAGTGAAAGGAGCATTTTTTGTTATTCATAACAAGCCCCTCTCAACCTCACTTGGTTTACATTAAGGAGGTGATTTTTGGAAAGCCCCAGAGGATGGGCGCTGGTTGCCAGGGGAACCGACCCTGTGATTTAGAGTTGGAACTTTCAGCCCCACCCCTTGACCTCTGGGGAGGGGAGAAGTGGGAGGTTGAAGTAATTGCCAATGGTCAAGGATTTAATCTGTCATGTCTACATAAGCCTCCTTAAAAACTCTAAATGATGGAGTTTGGAGAACTTCCAAACCTTGCCCTATGCATCTCTTCCTTCTGGCTATTCCTGAGTTGCAACCTTTTATAATAAACAGGAATCTAGTAAGTAAACTGTTTTCCTGACTTCTGTGAGCCATTCTAGCAAATTATCAAAGCCAAGGAGAGGATTGTGGGATTCTCTGATTTACAGCTTGTTGGTCAGAGTCCATGTGACAACGTGAACCTGCGACTGGCGTTTAAGTTGCGGGGGGGGGGGGCGGTAAGAGTAAGCATCGTGTTTTCCTGAGTTCTATGAGTCATTCTAGCGAACTATTAAATCTGGGAACCTCTGAATTTGTAGCCAGGTTGGACAGAAGTGTGGGTAGCCTGGGGACCTAGGACTTGTACGGCAAGTTGTAGGACTTGTAGGACTTGCTGGCATCTGTAGTGAAGGCAGTCTTGTGGGACTGAGCCCTTTAACCTGTGGGGCATGTGCTAACTCCCTGTAGTATCAGAAATGAATCGAATCTCTGGACACTTGGTTGATGTTGAGAATTGGTGTTAGAACACAGATACGTTAATTTGTTCGGGGTTTACAATTTTGTAGGCATGAAGAATCTATATGCAGTTTTAGGTTTGCCCATATTTAACTGACATTATATAAATTATTTAAGCTAAAGTCATGAAATGAAATTGGCCTGTGTATCATTCCTTTAAAATTAGCCTGTGTATCACTTGATTCTGAGGAATACTAGAGAACAAAATCACACTGCCTGGAGTTACAGCAAACACCAGGCACCTTGATGTGCCAGGCACTGGTTAGTGAAGCTCACTTCAGACACAAATAAGCCATAGCACTTACAGTCACTTCCTTATAAATCTCATCTTATTTTATTTTTACTCTGGTAGATCAGAGCATTAAAGAAACTCTCACTGGGGTTGGGAAATTCAGAAAGGCTTCTTTGCGGGGGAGATTTTCACTTTTGTCAAAACAGTTGGAGACCTAGTGACTTCCCGAGAAAATAATCAGCAGTGGATGTTCCTAAGGCTGAAGGACTGTTCTCCCTGCAAATTCCTCCATTCGAAGGAAGGTTCGGGGAGCATGCTGTTTACTGTTCTGATGCCTTGGCCACAGAAGGGCTTTCAGCATTCGGCAGTGACTATCTCATCCACACTGGCAAGTTTCTCTTTCATCTATGAGCTACAGCCAACCTTCCTGAGAGCCAGGCCACATATATGAACCTTACCACATCCATCATTCTACCCTTTGATACCTCTGCAGGCAGTTGCTTCGGCAACCCAGCCTCCTCCAGCACTTGGCTTGAATAATGGCCAGGCTAAGGGCACACAGAACTGAACTTGATCCTGACTCCCTGAAATAAAAGCATTTCCACTTCAGGAGGATTTCTGATGTTAAAAAGGAAGATACCTGATTGTCCCCATGGTATGGCAACATAAAAGTGACTTCACCACATGGTAGAGACTGACTGACAGAAAACACCTCTGTGATGTGCCTTGGTTGGAAGAAATGCCTTTCCTGCTCCACGACTTTCAGATTCTTTTCTTGAAACAGGTTTTCCCTCAGAGTAAAAGCAAAACACGAATTTTCAAAAACTGTCATACCTGATTCCCATCCAGGTTGAAAGAGGGTACATTTTAAGGGAGATCTATTTATTTTTCTTGGATGTTTAGGCTCAAAATAAACAGATACACAGTAGTTTGTTTTTGGAATTAACTTTTCGATGATATAACTGAAATTTTCAGTGACGTTTCCATTTATTTGAGGTTTATGCTATAAAAATAAACAAAGAAATCAGTGAGAATTTCATTTAGAGGCAAGCCTTAAGAGAGTCTTTGGAGATTTGTCTTCAAATCTTAAACAGGGATAGAAATATCATAGGCTTGGCAAGAAAAAGTATTTTATAAGTTACTTGGGGCAAGCAATTTATCACAAAACTGCATGTATGTGTATACACACACATACATGCACACGCACACACACATGCACATATACATTTTTAAACCATGAAATCTAGTCTAGCAACTTCCTTTTACAAATGAGGAGGAAAAAGTCCCAACGAGGAATAAAGGTCTCCATGATGTCATGTTTGCAGTAAGATAATCTTGCAAAAATAAGAAAATAAGATTATCCTATTTCATTCATGATATGTGTCTATACTTCAGAAACTGCTTTTACACATATTAACTCATTTGATTATCAAAAGAGTCTGCAAAGCAGGCATTATTCCCATTCTCCAGGTGAGGAAACTGCAGCTCAGAGTGGTTAAGTAGCCTCCTCAAGGCCACACAGCTTATCTGTGGCAGAACTGAGGCTGATGTCTAGTTTCCCTGTCTTCTCCTTAAAAACACTTTGCCTCTTCTTCCCCAGTTACTTCTGTTCCATTTTGGAATTAAAGAGATCATCTGAAGGTTCTTTTCCTGAAGAATAACTTTTGTATAATGTTTTATAGTTTTCAAAGTACATCCTTACCAGTAGTTTTATAAATGAGGATTTCCACCAGCTCAAATACAGTCTTCTATAATAATATTTTTCTGCAAGTTTATATTTGAAAGGAGGAGGAATTATTTTTTAGCACCCCATCCCCATAGCAAACTAAAAGCTCATGCCTGGAAAACAAGCAATGAGGAAGAAAAAGGACAGAAACCACAAGTGTCATGGTGAGAGGGCTGTCCTCGAAGGGAAACTGCAAACCGACAGTGGAGAGTCAGAACATCTGGGTCGCATACCTGGCATAGCCATTGTGGTCAACGTGTGATCTTAAATCGGGAACCTTGGCTGCCTGTTTCACCGGAAGCTCCCTGTTTCACCGGAAGCTCCCGCCCACTGTGACTCGTATGCGTAGTCCCTGGTCCTCTCGTGCTCCTGAGATTCCGTCCACTCTCATCTCCTCCCCCAGACATTGCTCCCTGACCTGCACCCCCCGGAACATTCCTTCTTCACACGAACATGCTGTCATTTCTTCCATCTTAAAAAGTCCCTCCCTCTACCTCACTTTTCCCTCCAGCTACCACAGCATCTTTCTCCTTACCTTTATAGAGAAACTACGGAGACCTCTTTCCTGAAGTCAGACCACACTGAAGCCTAGACCCTTCAGTTTTCATTGTTCAAATCATTACAGATTTTTTTTTTTTTGGCAATGTATTCATTGCCAACTCAGTACTGTTTTGACCACTTACCTTCTTAACGGTCCCCCCTGATTGTTCTTCAATTAATGCTAAGTAAAACTGTGATTCTTCCTCATTTAGTATCTTGGGAGCGACAGACTGAAATTTCACATTCACACTGATGTGGTCTGTAAAACCAACAATCTCAAACTCTGGTGGGTCCAAAGGCAGTGCTTAGAAAACAAAACAAACCCCAAGGTCAGTCAATAAATAGCATAACCGTAATGATACCATTGTCATGATACAACCATGCCTCTTTACAACTGTCTTTTAATTCCCCGTGGCCCTCGCTGAGGTGTGGGTTACATTTTTTTTTTTGCAGTACGCGGGCCTCTCCCTGCTGTGGCCTCTCCCATTGCGGAGCACAGGGTCCGGTCATGAAGGCCCAGCGGCCATGGCTCACGGGCCCAGCCGCTCCGCGGCATGTGGGATCTTCCCGGACCAGGGCACGAACCTGTGTCCCCTGCATCAGCAGGCGGACTCTCAACCACTAGCGCCACCAGGGAAGCCCACATATTTTTTTATTGGTGAAAAACTGAGAATAAAAGTGAAGTGATTTGTTTACTATTACCACAAGAAATGGAAGACAGATTTGGGGATGAAAGTCAGTATTTCCCCAGTGTTCAGGTTGTATTCTAAACACAAGAGTGAAAATGACTTCTTCTCATATAATAATAATAATAATAATAATACATAAACATTGCAGAAATATCAGAAAATACAGATAGGATTGTCTCTGTATGTGGTTAATCCTCTTTTGTCCATGCTGTATGTGTGTAAATATGTCTACACATATAAAAACTGAACTAGGGTACACACACACACACACACACACACACACACACACATCTAAACTAAAATTAAGTCATTCTTACACTGTTTTGCATGGTATATGTTTTCACTTAATTTATTTCATAAACACATTAATGCATGTTTATCTACATCATTACCTGTCAAACTATGGCCTGTGGGTTAGATTTTGCACAGCCTGCAAGTTTGGAATGGTTGTTATTTTTGAAAGGGTTGTGAACAAATGAAGGATATGTGACAGAGACCATACATGGCTCACAAAGTCCAAAGTGTTTCTTCTCTGGCCCTTTATAGAAAGTCGCTGACCCTGATTCTTCATCAAAAATTTTCACAGCTAATTCTATTCCACTAAGCAGCTGTCCCATGATTTAAGTGATTCACTCTTTTGAACATTTAGATTGGCTCTAAGTTTTCTGAATAGAATCTATACATCAGTGAGTATTCTTAGAGCTCAGTCTTTGCATTTGGCTGTAATCATTTCTTTAGGACAAATTAGTAGAGGAATTCTGGATTAGAGCAGAGGCACATGTTAAGCTTTTCAATACATACCGCCAAATACCTTCAGAAAGGCTGTGTCAAAGCACGCTCCCCGCATTTCCTCTAAATCTGGGTATTTACATACTTTTAATATTTACCATTTTGAGTCTTGAAAAATGATATCTCATTACTATTTTAATATACATTCTTTAATGGTTTGAGTACCATGTTCTATAAGTTGGGCTATTTCTTTTCTCTGTGGACACATACACAAACAGGCAATTCCACAATTCCAGAGAATCTCATAAGTATCTAAGTTTGCTACAGCAGGATTCAGTTGTCATCTGAATACGTGCTTTGCTGAGCACATATGTGCGAGTATACACCTACACAGCCTTTAACAGGGCCCTGAAGTCGAATCTTTCTCTTGGAAACAGGCTGCAGATCAGGACACTGACGAAGTGATGGAGTCTGGCTGAGAGCCACTGCCAGCTGCTCTGTAGCTGTTAACACAAGTGTCAATGGGAGCTGACTCCAGTTGTAGGAAAAGAAAGAGAGGGCAGACCCACTCTTGGGATCCAGTCTTCTCTGAGTCTGGGCCCCGCGTGCGCACACACCTGGGCGTCCACACACACAAGAGCTACTGGGCTCTGATCTGGGGCAGGGGCTGAAGTATTAGGAAAACATTGGCCCAAGGAGTTGTGACAGCTCTTACAGGCCATCTGAACTCCGTTCCCTGCTTCCTGTCGGCTGAGAGAAAAACAGCAGCTACTACTGCCTGAATGCTTGCCTCGTACAGGCATGGATGCAAAGGACAGGTTAGCATTCCACTTTTTGGAGAAGAAAATGGAGGCTCAGAGAAGAAAAGTCACCACTCCACGGTTACAGAGTTGGAAGTAGCAGGGCCAGGAGGTGAACCTTTGCCCTGCATCGAAAACACCTTTGTAGAACTTCCTATTTCATGGCAAAGCACATAACGATGATCTTGGTGATGATGATGAAGATAATAAACAAGATTGACTCACTGTCCATTGCCAGGAAGAAAGAGCCCATACAACTGACCAGCACTGCGTTCCCTCTGAATCCAACCACTTTGGGGATGTACATCTCTGTCATGTTTACCCACACATCTGTTAGGTCACAGAATGATCTTGTGATATTTGTACAGTCCCCAACGATCTTCATATCTTCTTGTTTACTTGGCAAGGCAAAGAAATGGTAAAAGAAAACTTTAGCATTTATGTGACGAGAATCCGTTAACTGCAAGCCCCACTTCCACATTCTTGTCTAGCTCTGCTCAAATGTCCCTGTGTTGTCATCTACCCTCACCACCTTATTTCAAATGGCACACCTTACCCTGTGCCCCCCACCCCTCTCTCTTGATCCCTCTTTCCTGTCTCTATTTTTCTTCATACCATTTGCCACTGCCTGCCCCATTATATCTTTGTTTATTGATATCTCTGCCTACTTTCAGAATGTCTGCTCCAAGAGAGCAGGGATTTTGGTTCATGGTTTGACCCCTGGCATGTAGTAGGTGCTCAGTAAATATCTGCTGTATGAATGAACGAGCAAATGTTGGGCGTTCACGGCAGAGGCCCCAGATCTCCCTGCCCCTACGGGACAATCATGAATGCCCCTCGCTGAGAACCCCTCTCTCTCTGGCTGAGGACCACATGGTCCAGTCCTAAGTCAGCCTGTGCTATATGGGGACAACACAGACATCTGCTCTCTTAAGCTTCAGAAAGGTAGGTGGGTGATACATGTGACTGCCTAACGCAGGGAGAAACTTAATGACTTTAGCAGGTACCAAAGAGAAACCCACAAGAGGCCCTCCAGTGGGTCAGTCAGCAGCAGCAAAGAGCTATAAGCCAAATAAACAGCCAACAAAAGGACACCCCGAAGGGCTACTGGATCAAAGTAATGGCTTAGGAGGGTGATTGTTAGACGTGGGAAGAAGAGAGCAAAAGAGGGCTCCATCCATTAGGTCATGAGTCCCTCAGCAACCCCTAAGTAGGAAGATTAGCACAGAGAAGCTGCACTCTGCGTTGGTTAGTGACCAAGCCAGACTTTGGACCTGGGCCTGTCTTAGTCTGGGCCAGGCAGCTTTCTGATGTGCCACATGCCTCCCTGAGTAAAGGAAAGTAAACACAGCCCATCAATATGGTCACCAGATCTTTGGACTTCTGTCCTCAGAAAATGCAGCACTTTTCAACACCCAGACTTACTGAATTAGAGAAATAATTGTGAAAAACAGACACAATAATTATTTTGCTTCTGAGGCTTTGACATGTAGAAATTAGCTTTGGTTCTAAATGCACGCTTTGTCAAAAATAACTTTGGGTTGTTAAAGTATTCAGTGTAATTAAAAATGGATGGGTCTTTTGTCTTTAGACTTTTAAAGCTCTGATTAAAAAACCGAAATTGAGAAGGGGCGAAAGAGGGGGAGAGGGAGAAAAGCTCTATCACAAGTGAGATCATCTCTTCCACACTCTCCACATTATAGAAAGATAATATATTTAGCAAGAGAAAAATGAAATGTCAAACCAACCTCATGATGGTGTACCATAATGTATAGTGAGTTGGTACAATTGAATGGTTTTTTAATTCCCATGATAAGATTGACTGCAAATTTCGTAATGTCATCTTTAAAGTGCAAGATTCATCTGAAAAATCTAAAGGGAACAAGAGGAAAAAAAAAAAAAAGAGAGAGATTGAAATCTGGAGCCCAGCATTGTACCTTGGCCACTGTTCAAACTGTCCCTTGGGATCTGGAGCCCGACACTTCTAGCAGAGAAGCCCTCCCAAGAGCCCTGGGATCTTGGAAACACAGAAGGAACTGGTTTTGCTGGACATGAGAAATGAGCTAATACAATTAACAGATGAGCAACACATTGTCAGGGTGGACAAGCTTAGGAAACAGGAACTCAGCACTGTGTAAACAGAATTTGGGCTCACCCAATTATCACTGACTCTCAGCGGCTGTTTGGATCAAAACAATCTATGTCATCCTGGGCCACCCCATCCTCTCAAGTCAACACTCGACCCCTCCTCCAGTCCCCCCTCAGTAGCTTGGCCCATGGCAAGCTTTCCCTCCACTGAATTCCCCACTGTGCTTATTCCCTATCACAGAGAGGAGACAGAGAATGTGTGTCCAGATTGAATCTTCCATTTCATCCCCAAGCCTATGCTGAAGTATTGATAGGTGCTATTAACAAACCCATTTTACAGACTGTGAAATTGAGAAGTTGAGTTATGTAATGTTAGGTAGCTGGGAAGTGGCAGCAGCAAAGGAGACTTCACAGCTACATTCGTCAAACCCTGCCTTATATGGTTAAAGTTTCAAAAAGCATCTAAGTTTCCTATGATTAGGACCTGGGCCTTGGCTTTTGGGTTTCCAAATCTTCATCCCCCAGGGCTCATCACAAGGCTGGATACATATTTAATGCATAGTGATGTTCTGTGGACAGGTTTATACGTAGGTAAGAAATTTAGTTTAAAAAAATGTGTTTTCCCTTATCTGGTACCAGGTACCAGGTAACAGGTGGAAGAATGCAAATTAATGGGAAATTATTTCTGGATGATTTTTTGTTTGGTACAGTCTGTGTCTCCTCATTCTTCTATTAGTGAGAATATTAAGAGGTGAATATTCTTTTAAGGGGTTTAAAGATTAACTCTAGTGTTAATTTCTTGTAATAGTTTTATGAGACAAATGTGAAAACCAGTATTGGCTAAATTCTCCTTTAACAGGGAAAGTTTTTTTTTTTTTTTTTTTGCGGTACACGGGCCTCTCACTGCTGCGGCCTCTCCCGCTGCGGAGCACAGGCTCCGGACGCGCAGGCTCAGCGGCCATGGCTTACGGGCCCAGCCGCTCCACGGCACGTGGGATCCTCCCGGACCGGGGCACGAACCCGTGTCCCCTGCATCGGCAGGCGGACTCTCAACCACTGCGCCACCAGGGAAGCCCGGGGGGAAAGTATTTGAGGAAAAAGATTCAAACAAAATGGCAACAGATCTGGGATCAGTAATCAAATTTCCCACACTTTTGACTTCTAAATGGCCACTCCAACACTCTGACCCTTACACAAACTTTTGTCAAGCCAAGAAAAATCTCTTACCAGGCAAAACATACGAAATACCAAACATGAGGCTGATGTGCACTGGGAAGAAGAAAAACATGTTAGACAAGCAACCACACTTTCACCAGGTTCAATTTACGATCGCTACTCTGAGTCTGGGATTCTTCCTCACAGATGTATTTATATTGGATTGAGACTTTTCTCGCGCTAAAGAAAAAAGCTCAAGTAAATGGTTCTTTTTTTGTTTGTTTGTTTTGCGGTACGCAGGCCTCTCACTGTTGTGGCCTCTCCCGTTGCGGAGCACAGGCTCCGGACACGCAGGCTCAGCGGCCATGGCTCACGGGCCCAGCTGCTCCACGGCACGTGGGATCCTCTCGGACCGGGGCATGAACCCGTGTCCCCTGCATCGGTTGGCGGACTCTCAACCACTGCGCCACCAGGGAAGCCCAAGTAAACGGTTCTTAGAGAGCCGACTTTGGTATCAGCAGCTCGCTGTCTAAGGATGTTTCGTCCTGACCCTGGATCCAAAATAAGATGTTTGGGAGCTGATCCTAGTCATGAGGGTTGGCTGGTTGAGGGACTGCTCTGAGAAGCAGTCATCTGTCTGGAACAATTCTCAGAATATGAATAAGCATGTTGCTAATTAAAAAACTTCCAACGTAAAGATATTTACCAGGGTTGGTGGAAGAAGAAAGGTCTTGGTGATGGGAAGTGGGGATTCTCATTTGTTTCCTGGATGTCACCACGACTTGGCGAGTCGGGGGACGGGTTAGGGGCATTTTTAGTAGGTGGGGGAACAAGGCTGTCATATACTCTCCAATGCATGGCACTTGTCTGGGGAGAAGTGACCAACTCATGGCTACCTTACTGATAAACTATGGAACAGATGACACAGTGACACTGAAATAGAATCAAAAGAATGGTAAAGAAAAGGCACACATGAATAGGGCTATGGAAAAAGAAAGCAATAATAAACGAAGTGTGGAAACCAAAGTTCAGGGATGACTTTTTGGTTTTGTGTTGAGGAGGGAGATAAGGCGTCTGGTCTCTTTCCAAAGTAGGAATAGGGTGATAAACTCCAGCCTGGATTAGAATGAGGGCATTGAGGGAAATTACTCTTCAAATTACAGTGAGGCTAACCCCGTTCATTATTGAGCCTTAAGTCAATTATTATTTGTTTGTTTTCCTAAAACAACAGTAGGGCAGAAACCCATTGTGAATCAAACCATTAACGCTTGTTTCCTATCTACGTTCCAATTGGCTCTTTTTTTTTTTAACATCTTTATTGAGGTATAATTGCTTTACAATGCTGTGTTAGTTTCTGCTTTATAACAAAGTGAATCAGTTATACATATACATAAATTCCCATATCGCTTCCCCCTTGCGTCTCCCTCCCTCCCACCCTCCCTATCCCACCCCTCCAGGCGGTCACAAAGCACCAGCTGATATCCCTGTGCTATGCTGCTGGGCAGCTGATACTGGATCCTCAAGGCAGGGAAATCAATTGGCTACTCCCTAACAGGGTCCCTGGCAATGGAGCTATGAGAAAAGTAACACTTACCCATGGGATACATACCCATGGGATACAAATTAAGTGGTCCAACCGCTGAGACATTCTGGCTCAAAAGCATCTTTGTTGTTTTATATGTCCTTTCTTTACTTTCACATCTGAAAAGCAATCAATATTAGGTGATCAAAATTCTGAAGTGTCTAATTAAACTGCAAAGATAATGGGCAAAGACAAGACAATGAAAGATCGGCAGGAGATTCCCGACTCCAGGCTTCCTCTGCCCTTCTGGGAGCTGGACCATTTACCCCATTACACGAGCAGCTTTACCTCAGCTTCTGGGACCAATTCCCTACCTAGGCAGGTAGAAATTTTAAATGTAACTTTTGAACAGATAACACAGTCATTTGGTTCCAAAATTTTAAACATACAAAGAAGTAAATAGTGAAAAGTCTTGCTTCCTTCAGAAAACTATTTTTATTTGTTTTTTTGGTGAGTCCTTCAGAATACCTTCATGCATAAGCAAAAACAAACATGTACTCTTATCCCCCCCAGCCCTTTTTTTTTTTACACAGAGATAGCATATACATTCCCTGTCCAATTCCTGCTTTTTCTACTTAAAAATATATTTGGGACATCTTTCTACATCAGCACCAAAGAGAATTTCCTTGTTTTTTTAAATAGCTGCATAGTCTACTCTGTGGACATACCATGATTTATATAATCAGTCCCCACGACGAACATCTGAGTGGCTCCCAACTGTTTCTGCAATGGATAATCTTGGAAATGCCTTATTCTGCACATGTCAAGTCTAAGTGTGAGAAAGATTCCCAGAAGTAGGATTGCTAGGCCAGAGGGTGTATCAGTCAGGGTCCCAGTAGGAAACAGCACATTCAAGTTAGGATAATTTGAGGAAGATTTTAATCAAGGGACTATTTACAAATGTGTGAGCCAGATGCAGACCAACTATAAGGAAGAGTGTAGTATCTGAAACTAACAACAGCAGGGGTTCTTATCATCCTGGGCTTGAGGCACAGGGGGAAGATATCAACACTAGAATTTGGAAGGAAAGAATCCTGTGTGAGGAGCTAGGATGTAAGCCGACCCTAGGTGACTGTGCAGCGAGGGGGCTGAGGGATAAACATTCCTCACTGTCTTGTCTTACCCGGGGCTCCCCATTGGCTGAACCCAATAAGAAATCACAGGACAAGGCTGCGGGCAGCTGTACCCATACAAGACAGGATCCCAGGGCACAGTAAAGGGTGGGCGAGGTGGAGGCTGGGTTTGCAGGGGCAGACAGAAGAGACCTGGCACAAAGGGGCCATTTGTAATTTTTCCTGCTTTCTTTTGGCCGCACGGCGTGTGGCTTGTGGGATCTTAGTTCCCCGACCAGGAATCGAACCCATGCCCTCTGCAATGAAAGCGCGAGTCCTAACCACTGGACCACCGGGGAAGTCTCTGCATTTGTAATTTTGATTGAAACAGTCACACTCTCGCCGCTTGTGGCTGTACCAATGTACACAACTGCCTGCGACGTGTAAGAATTTCTGCTTCCCCACAAAGGAAGTGCTTGTGGGGATACATAATGATTATGATCATGATAACCATCAAGCTCTTGGATTTCTAAAAATCAAATGCATAAATGCAAAGTTGTCTTCGGACTAATATTCATTTTGCATTTCTCTTATTCTGGGTAAGATTGAGCATGTTTTCGTATATGGAAGAGCTATTTCCTTTCTTGTTAACTGTCTGTCCATTTTTCTATTGAGTTGTTGCTTTTTTTTTCTTATTGGTTCGAAGGAGCTTTTAAAGTATGAGGGAAACTGGCCCTTTGTGATACGAATCACATCTTTTTAAATTTTTCTCTGCCATTGTCACTTTTCTCTGTCACTTGTCCTTTGATTTGCCTGTGCTATCTGTGTTTTTTAAACCATGCAGAAACTTCTGGGTTCTATGCTTTCAGATTTAAAGGTATTTTCTTTCTTAGCACCTGCATTTTGAGTTACAGTTAGAAAGTCTTCCTCCCTCCAAGGTGAGAAAGGAATTCTTCAAACATTTTAAGGAACCCCCCAATCGGTCTCATTCCTTCTCTCCCTTGGAGCTTTTGTCTCCCTCCATCCAAGCAACTGGGTATTCTTCAGTCCCCAAAAACACTGAGGCAGCATCAAGCCCCGAGTCAAAATGAAAATGGGAGCATGCCTTGAAGTAGGAAACTCAAAAGCAAACCAGACTCAGGAAGGTAGCAAGGAGGACGAGAGGGTCCCCCCAGGCACACAGCCAGCTCAAGAAGCACTCTCTCATGCACAGGGATACTCAGGGCCAGTGCCACTCCCTACAGGTGCACACATGCACTTGCACCTGAAGGATGCTGGGAACCATCTCCTGTTGCCACCCAGCACACCAGCCTGGGATGGGCTTGGGAAAATCAAACCCTGAGTCTCCCCTTTCCAAGGATCTGCTATCCCAATCCACAGCGTGCTGGTGAAGCTGAAGTGTCTTTAAACCTCTGCTCCTGGCCACGCTATGTACCTGAATCAAGGCTGACCTAGAAACTTAACCCTTGATGGACCAGCTAGCCACGCCCTGGGTGAGGCGGGCCGGGGGCAGCCTCCAGTCTGCCTGGCCTACCCTCCCTGTACACATGCCAGGTGGGCACCAGTGCAACATGGGAGTATCCCACGATGCAACCCAGCTGCTGCCCCCATGAAAAGAGTGTCAACAGTCAAGGGGTGTAGAGAGAGAGGCCAGGCAGGGTCCCTATCCTGCAGAGAAGGGGCAAGTAAGACCCAAGTGTGAACTGAGACTCCAAGCCTGCCGTGTGTTCCACTGACCCACCAGATTTCACTAAAAAAACACAAGTTCAAAGATAAAATGATTAAGAATTTCAAGACAACCACAGGAGAGCAATCAACCAAGTGTGGGACACTTCTATCTGTAGGGTCCCTGGGGACTGAAGCCGGCCCTGGCTACAGTGCCGAGAGTAACGAGAGCTTCAGGAAGCCTGATCTGTTTGGAGTCGGGGAGAGTTTTAAGGAGCTTCATGAACAAATCCAGGCAGGATGCCAAGATGGGAAATCAGATTTTCCAAGCAAGCAAGAATCTAGTACCAGAAACCTAACTGGAAGTGGAGTATGAGTCACCAGGAACAAAGAGAGGGACGAGGCGTCCCCTGGCCCAGCACAGGAGAGTGGGACTTCTAACTGTGTGGTAGTGTGTGTGTACTTCTCAGCTGCTGAAGACAGGGAAGCTTCTGCAGATGCAGAACAAAGGCAAAGATGTGATACCATCAGAGCAAAACAGAGGGACCAGAGGCCACAGGACAGATGACCAGGTAACAAGGGAGTCACACGCAAAGTGGCATTCTACAACCCTGGTGCGCCCAGCACCTAGGGAACGTCCACAACCGTGCAGGCCCTCTGCTGAGGAGGAATGATGGGAGATGACATCACATCTCACAAAGATATCTCTGTGGATGCTCTGAATGGATACAATATTATGGGATAAGTTGAGGTGCCTGGATAGCTCATGGGTGGTAGGTGGCAATTTTGACTTGGAATCTTTTGGATTTCTCTAGAAAACCCTGGGTGAGACCTGATAGCATGATAGTCAAGAGGACTTTTTAATGTGTTTTTAGCTTGAATTCAAGTCTGCTATGAAATGCCAATTGTAATTCGGTGATTCTTCATTTGGATTAAATGCTCATAGTTGCATTTAGATCTGGCTTTTGCACAATATAAAGGAGAATGGTAAAATTCATGCTAGTAATTAAATTTATGTTTTTTTACTTAGAATGACCTTCAATAGAAAAAAAAAAGGGCAAGTTGAGAGACACCATTGAAGAAAAGAAAAAGCTTTATATTTTAGTACCTTTGGTGGTACTTTTTCCTACTTTGTAATCCAATGGGGCCCTGCATTTTAATTTTGCTCTGGGCCTTGCAAATTCTGCCACCAGCCCAGCCTGTAGTTCACTGCTGCCTGACAAGAAACCAAAGCCTTAGGTTGAATTCAAGGCTGCCACCAGCCTTTCCAGTGTTCCCACTACTGTCCCACACGAGTGCGGAGCTCTGGGCAACACATCACATCCTGCTCTGACACTCCCATCACCACCCACCCTGCCCACTCCCCGACTCCCCACCCAGCAATGCTTGCCATTGCTACCCAAACAAAAAACTATCCATGTTTAAGGCCCAGCTCAAAGAGATGCAACCTGGGCAAAGTGATTCTTCTCTGAATTTCAGCTCCTCCTAAACAGACAGACAGACAGACAGACAACCCACACGGAACTTGCTGCCCCCTATTCTCCTGGTAGAGAGCAGAATGCTGTCTTTTCTCCTAACGCAGCACAGCCTGACACCTGGCGCATCTTTGCTAATCAATGAATGAATGGATTCAGAAGGACTCTACAAATAAAACTACATACTTTTTCTCCTGGAAATTAAAAAAAAAATACAAAAAAAAAGCACAAAGAAGAAAATAACAATCATCTTTATTTTTACCACCGAGCACCAACCATTGTTTACATCTTGGCATATTTGTTTCTAGTTTATGTCTTGTTTTGGTAAAAATACTTCTATGCGATAATGTATAAAATCCCAGCATCCTGATATTTCCATCATTAACATTAGGTGAACAGAATCCCAGAGATCTTTCTGTGCATAGACACACACAACACACACACTCACACAGATGTTTCCGTCTAAATTTAATTTTACCTGGAAAAAAACTGAAGCAAAGGCTGAAGAAATTGTTGACATTTAAATTATTTCCGTAAGAAAGAATAGCTCCCTAAAATATCCCTCTAAAGAAAATTACAAAAGACATTAGGAAGTTGGAATATGATCTGTTCACAGCATTCTAACTGTTCGACCCTGTTTACTGATCCATGCTTTCAAACAAGAGAACTAGGACTTCCTTGGTGGTGCAGTGGTTGGGAATCAAGTCATTTCCTGCAACAAACAGGTCAAACCTTATCACTGATGCGCACATTACTAGGAAACATTTTCTTTAGAGCAAATTTTACTATGGCCTCGCTTCCACCCCTTTCGTCTCCAAGCCAGAACAGTAGTGGGGAGGATACTTTGAAAGCTGTCCAAGATGCGGGACAAGTGACGGAAGGCCTGTTGGTCTCAGCCGCCGGGGTCAGTTAGTGTGACA